TTACAAAATGGCGTATTTTTAAAAAATAAAAATGATGTGCCAATGAACTTATTTCTTATCTGATGGTAAGTGGCGTCTGTAGCCTTAGGGCACATGCATTGACAATAAATAAAAAAGCCTGGCTATGGATGTGTAGCCGCCTCTGTGGACTAAGTTGGAATACCTCATTACAATCATTCTGGCTTTATACGCTTTAGACCAAAACACAGCAGTGCACACAATGCTGTTTGGCGGTAGAAATAGCTAAGACGATGGTAACTGACCGGGTGGACTGAGACAAGACAAAGGTGTCCTACCACTACCACTTTGTTACTTTACTAGTCGTAATTAATTAAACTCGAATGACATCATTATTATATTGGATACTTATGCAATCGTCGATTCATTAAAAAAAAATAAAAATTAAAAGTATCAATTTTTTTGGTACTTTATATAATAAATTATAAGTAGTTATTATTCAGTTAAAATAGTTTTTTTTAATCTATTGAAATTCTGCGAAAAATAGTCGCATTATAAGGAAAGGTGAAGTAAATAGGAAGCTGGTAAATACAACGGAAGACAGTTTCCAGTCGTTGTGTAATTTCAAAGCCAATTTGTCGTCTGATTGCACCGAAATGCCGTGCAGGTCTCGGGCCTCGGGGTGTACCCCATTTACCCGGATTTTCCTCACGCCACATTACAATGTGCCGGTCATTTTCTTGGCGCCTATCATGTTGTAGGCGGCTTTTTGCTATAACGACTTTGTCGCGTGAGTGGTTAATATTTTTCCATAGTAAACCCGATAAAAAAGTTGTGTTTCGTAATTATCCTACACAAAAGTTATGTTGAAAGTCAAAGTTGGCCTTTCAGCGGCATTGTGGGTTGTTACTCGGACTCCCTAATCTATATAGAGAGGAGTTCTCTTGGATAAGGTCGCCCGTCCGGTGGCCTATGCATGCAACGGCGCGAAGCCGTTGAGGTGTTCGTGTGGCCCGTTGTCGGCACGGTCGAACATGCCGCGCGCCAGCCGGGCCACGAATTCGGTGAAGGCTCTCTATCTTTAGGTCGGCCGCTATTACGTCGTTACGGACGTAGCGACCCGCTCCGACAATAGTTCTTAATGACAAATTCTGCTGGGCCTGCAGTCGCCGCCTCTGGATCAGCTCAGGAGTGCGAAACAGGCCGGAGCAGCGTATGTTAGCAGGGTTATGTAGGTTTTGTATATGGTTATCTTCGACTTTGTCAATGGTAATTTCGATGCCAGGACAGGACGGAGCATCGCCCGCGCACATCTAGCTTTGCGGAGCGACGAAGTCGACGTGCGCAGTCATGCGCAGCGCCCTGTCGATCCGGCACCCAAGGTAGGTCACGGCCTTCTCGTATGCGATCTCCTGGCCTTTGAGGGTTAGCGGTGGTGGTAGATTCCTGTAGCGGCGAGTGAGCAGAGCGGTCGTCTTGCTAACGTTGACGACCATCCTCCACTCATCTAGCCAAGGTGGCAGCAGGTCCAGCAGACGGTTGCATCTTGGCAGCGGCTATGTGGGCTCTTCTGGACGACGTGAAGTATGCGCTGTCGTCCGCAAACAGCGCTAGTTCGTCGTCGTCCTCCCATTCTTGCAAGTGCCTGCCAGTGTGGGTATATCATTGGTATACGCCGCGTACAGGGCTGGAGATAGACAGCTGCCCTGAGGAACGCCGGCTGTTATGGTCTTTATTGCGGACTCGGCGTTCTCTACGCAGACGTAAAACTTCCTGCCTTCCAGGAAAGACGCCACTAGCCGCAACATAGCAGGAGGGACACTTGTTTGCACATCTAGTTTATAGAGTAATCCTGTGTGCCACACCCGGTCGAACGCCTTCTCGATGTCGAGAAAGACGCCTAACGATATGCGGCCTACACGGTGTTTGGGGGGGCAATTTCAAAGCCAATTTGTTTTGCATGGTGTTAACGGGCGTTACCGTGGAGAAGTGCTAGACAACAGCAACCGGTAAGTCTCAGTTGCTTGATAACGTGGTTGTTAATCGCTAGGCTAGGTTTTTAGAGCTAGGGTGTAAGATATCTTTGTTCCAAAAAATTTATACAGCTCTATCAGTATCTAGTGTATGAGAAACATATGAGCTAAATCATATAAACGTTCTGTGGATGACAGTATTTTGTTTTTATTAATGATCATCCTTGCCATTTCATTATTGGCAAATTGGCGCGACAATATTGATGCACATTGAAAAAAAGATTTTATTTTTATTAAACTTTTCTCTAACACTGCCAACAGCTCGTTTATTTATTTAATAGTATTAATTTTATTCATAACGGGGGAAGATAATATAATGAACCTTACTTTTAAAATATTATGGTTCTGATTAGATAGAAGATAGGCATGCTATTTGTTGGCGAGCTCGAGGGATACGTTACTGGACCCGCAAGAATGTCTAGTAGAGCGCAACAAATAAAACGTCATCACATTTTCTGCATGAAGTGTTCTCAGAGCAGTGACAATGTGCGCCAGCGCACTATTTATTTTACTAATCGAAGACTCAAATAACTTCATCCTATCTACAGTTTTGTCGATTCCTTCTAATGGGTATAATTATTGAGCAAACATTATTATTTATTTCATTTTCTTCTGTTTAGTAATGTCTGTTATATCGTAGTAAATATAATATGACCATCGTCTCCACCGTTTTAGTATCTTACTGCAGCGTACAGTAAGAAACATTGTATTTTAACGCGCTAGCTGTTCTAACGTAGCTTATATGCGTGCGAAGAACCGGAGCGTTTGTTGTATCGGTTTCACTTTTACACTACACAGTTATTTTGAATTTATGATTTTTCTGATTTCTACGCGTGTTGTATGTAATAGATTAGCATGATAGTTATTGGTTAGTCTCATTGTGCTCTTATTTATTGCTTTGCTTTGTAGTTATTCGATGTGCGTGTTATCATTAACTGAAGGGTGACCAGTTATATCTTGTCGCTCCGTTTTAACTTTCTTATAATTACGTCTCACCCATGATATTAATCAAGAGCGTTTTGTGTATACTAAAACTCGGGCTCTTCATATTGGGTAATACTTTCATCTAGATATTGGTAGTGAGCAATGTCTAGCGAGACCTTGAGGTGGGGCATGCTCCGTTTAGTCGCGTTCCACTTAGACCCATAGCTCTCTCTTATTATGCAAACTTGTCGTTATGCATAATGCTTTGCCTCTATGAAATTGTGCTGAGATATGACTTTATACCAAAAATACTGTTTCAATAAATATGACAGAATTTTGAGATTTCTTACAAGTGTAAAAAGACGCATGTATATATATCAAATTATTTCAATAAATATTATCAAATTATAATATCAAAGCATTAACTTCACTGATTTTCAATGAATCACTTGCTTCTGATTAGAAAGAAAACGAAATATCATAATTTTTTAAGAAGTGTATTTGAATTTAAAACAAAATGAACTGGTGTATGACAAGTAACCACTACCCATTAATATGGGTATTAACATTTGATCATTCAACTTAATAGTTGAATGATCAAATGTTTCATTAGTAGATTCCATAATTTTCCTTAATATCCTCATTTAATTTCGACTACAATTTACTATTGTAGTGGATACAGCAAGATTGGTTTATATTCAGCTATTTCTATAGTGACATGTATTATGAATTAAAGCAGATTGGCATGGTTTGGGATAGGAGAATTAGAGTGGAGGATAATGGGAATGGCTTGGATGTGTGTATTGTTTTGAGATTCAACAGCAGGTGTTGAAATTATATGTTATACAGAAATGAAATGAAGAAAAATGCTATATGTACAATATCAGACCAGGGTCTCACCCAGAGACCTTTTTAAAGAAATAAATGCCATAACAGAGTTGCATCACAATTAATTTTTGATAATATGCATTATATTTATATTTGAAAGTATTACAATACCTTTGAAAAGTGTTTTTTTTTAATAGGAGAAGGGTGACAAATGAGCACACAGTCCACCTGGTGGTTAGTGGTTGGCCCGTACACATTTACATCCATCCTCGATTAAGAATCAAAATACAGATGCGATGTAACCCGTGAGGACTAAGACGGAATGCCTTGTTTCCAGTAAAAAGGGTCTCCGGTTCTCTACACTCACCATACGAAACAAAGCAGCATTAAACTGCTATTTTACTTATTGTGAGAGCGTGGTCCTTCCCCATTCGTGCTACAACTATACTACTAATATAGCTGCCGCATGACTCTACCACGTAAAACTGTTGTCCGTAACTTTAGTATGTGTGATAAATCTAAACTAGCTGTAAGGCAGCTAATTATAGTTTTATAGTTAAAAAAAAAAGAATATTAACAATGCTATAAAATTACTATATTCCCTTAGCTTAAATTGCTTGTGTTACGAGTGGTTCACGCCAGTAGTCGAATGGCGGATTCGAACCCACGACCTTTTCGAGTTCGCGGTGCGCCCTGCCATTACGCTACTGTAGCTTAATATTTTAGGGTATTGTTGCTTAATATTATATAATTTTTGGGTAGATATATGTATATAACTATTTATAACAAGATTCACTGGAATATTACTGATTTGTGTTTACATACATTCAAAGCGCACGTAGTAGATAACGAGCTTCCTAAGACATTTTTACTTAAGTTGTAACTAACTATTGTTGCCGCTCCCTCTCACAAGGTCTCCCACACTAGGTTTTAGAAGCGATTGCGTAGCGTTCTTAAATTTCAAAAAGTTCGGAAATCTAAGAATGTAAGAAAATCTAAGAAGGGATTATTGTTTGTTTCAGGGCCCTCCGCGTTCCTGACACAGATAGAAGTAGCAAGACGGCAAGGGAAGCCATTAACCGCGCGCGCACAGCAGACCCATTGTAGAAGATTGACTAAATTGCAACGTTGAACTCTGTGATCATTGTGCAGTTTTGTGTTAAGACTTAAAAGTGCAATATACTGATAGTGCAATCGTACTGTTGACTGCTCGGACAGTTTTGTTGTTGTTTTGAAACGTGAAATTATTGTGCAACTATGGAGCGAGAGTCGAACCCAATGGAGGCGCTCTGCCGTTCAGGATGCGGCTTCTACGGAAACCCGTCCACTGACGGCCTCTGCTCAGTCTGTTTCAAGGTAATATTTATATAATCTTTGTGAAGTGAAATTTAGCTCTGAAGTTGATCTTACTCTTAACTAGTAATAATTGTTTATATGTAATTGTATTAAAACAATTTAAATGGCCTAGTAAGATACCTCGAATTACTATTTGTTAAAGTTTACCTTGTTATTTAGATTTGAAAATGTAGTGGAACATTAATTCATTTTCAATTAGTATTTATAAGAATGATCGCTTGCTTGTTAATTTTATTCTTCTACGTCAGGCTGCAAAGTACACTGCTGGACATGTGCTAGTTCTGTAATAGGAAGGGTTGGCCATAATCGTCACGCATGCCAAGCAGATGACCATTACAGTATTAAACGTTTCGCACAATTGATGCTGCTCCCCGCGGCTCGACCTCAGATGTTTTGTCTGGCGTAAACGGGATGGTAATTCTGCTATCTATCTGAAGCCATGTCTTTCTGACATTCCTCATAATGATCTTATGCTTCCATACACGACAAATTTCAATCTCAATCACATGTTAAATAGTTTTAGCAAATCTTCTTTTTTTTAATAGAAGATGGGAGCTTACGGTTCACCCGATGTTAAGTGTCTTCCGCCGCCCATGAACAACTCCGCAACTCCAACTTTCTTAACATTATGCCTCAGGCGATGTTTATAAAAGTAAAACGAGGAAGTATTTAATTAGGCCCGTAAACGCACGCTGGCTTGTTGACCTTTCGTAACTAATGCTTGACTTTGGATTAGAACATTGTAATGTTCGACGTATTACGTCGGTCATTTAAAACTTTAACGGAAACTATAGATTATCACTTAAAATTGGCGTCAATATGTTATTTGCCTTGGTAAGCGTATAAGCTAAAAACTTTTAGAATATTAAACATGCTCCTTCAAAGATGATTGCTTGCTCTATAATCGCTTGTATTGTTGCAATGCTCTTACGTTCTACGCCACGTGTATAGGTTAAATGCAAGGCAAACAACTGAAGGCAAATTTTTATTTTATTTTCCACTTGTGATTGATTATCTAGGAAGCCGGAAGGATTAGTTTAGTCAATTATGATGCGATTTCAGTTATTGTTTGATCTTGTTGACTGTGTATTGTACATATATGTTTTATTTCTTTGTTTTGTGTGATTTAAGTTGACATTTTAAAATTGTAACACTAGTACTTTTGAAATGAAATGAGTTTTTTTTTTTTTTTTTTTTTTTTTTTTTTTTTTTTTTTTGTTTTTTGTTTGGGGGGGGGGGGGGTTGGTTTTTTTTGGGGTTTCTCCCTTTTGTAGGGGGGGGGGGGTCCCCCCCCTGGGGGGTTTCATATAAAAAAAAAAAAACCTCCCCATATTTTTATTTTTTTTTTTTTTTTTTAAAAAAAAAAAAATTTTTAAAAATTCTATGGTTTTTTGGTTCGCGTAAATTTAAAAATTTATACTCTTTATTTTTCAATGTAAGACACTAACGTTTCCATTGTCAAACGTTCGGGTTCTTGTCTGAAGAAGAGACATCGGATCTTTTATTTTTATTTTTAAAGGATAATATAATGTTCTTAAAAAATTGAAAGGAATAGACACTTAATCGAAACATGTATAATATAATTACACAACAAAACAAAAACAAAAGTAAAATTAAAGCTAATAAAATTTATTTATGCAAAACATGCAACAGACCAGTCCCCATATGCAGCACTTGTTCACAAGTATAATGCATTTTGCATCGCCATCATCGACCATTTAAAGAAAGTAGACGACCCGCCACGCAACGCCGCCGCAAAGTCTTTAGCGTGCAAATCATACCCAAGTCTGCCGTACACTAAGGTCTTACTTTATACAATAAATAATACTGGTTAACAAAATTTTAACTTATTTTTTGTCACTTGAAAACTTATCAAATTTTGAATATACTAGGGCCACCAAACAAAATATGTGAATAAAAAAACTGACACGTCAAGTTTCCTTGTGACATCAAAAAAAATATTTTTGTAAAAAGTACAAACATCAGCTACATTTAGAGAAATTATTGCTTAATATAGAATAAATATTTCTGATTTTTGTTAATATTAGGCTTCTGGAAGGTCTTTTCTAAGTCTCCAACGATAATCTGCTAGCATTCCTGGACTATATTTCCTTTGAAAAAGCTTCTCAATCAAGGAAATGTCCTGATGGAACCTCTCGCCTTGTTCGTCACTCACAGCACCCAAATTTGCGGGAAAGACATCCAGATGGCTTCAGCATATGTATTTTTAAGGACATATAAACCCCAAAGATTTTATGACAATATAAGTTTTAAGTATTAAGTCTTTGTAATTTTCAGATTTATGGTTTCTTAGAAAATTTTGGACAACATTCACAAAACACTTCCAGGCGAGTTTTTCCTGATCATTCAGTTTTTCTTCAAAGCTCTTATCTGTTATCAGTTGCCGTATTTGTGAACCTACAAATATTTACAAGTTTGGATACTGTATAGTGTGTTCGGACTCTTGTTTGAGTAAACAAAAATAACAATCACTTACATGATCCTTTGGTTCAGTCCAAATCATTGGTACAGCAAATGCCATGTCTCTGGGTTCTTGTTTAGCCCAACTTAACAGCAGTCTCACACATGTTACACAACATTTATGTGGAACCCAGGATTTGTCTTGATTCCTCACAGGAAATCCTAGTCTAAATAGCACTGTTCAATTAATGATGTGAAATTTCGGCGCTGAGATGTAAAGTTAATAATTAGAATTATATAAGTAATTCTCCATACCCATAACAAAAACTGTCAGGGTAGTTAGAACACTTTCATGCCATTTTTACGATGTAACAAACGTATATAAGATGTGAGTTACTTGAATGCAATTGTTATACAGTCGTCTAAATGAAGTTATTCAAAAAAGGACATTTATATGAGGTCAGAAATGAATTACAAAACTTTGACATGACATGACATATATTGTTAAGGAGGGTACACCAACATGAACAAAAATCATCACAAAGTTCGTATGACAAAACAGTGTTTACCAGTGTAATTAACTCACATGCCTATTTTACTACATGTTCTTGAATTATAACATAGTAAATATGCATGAATGCATATAGCAGTGTGACATAAAAAATTAATTTATTCACCAAGGCATTTATATGTGAACCCCATTGTATTTCATATTAACAAAGATTATTTATTTATATATAAGAAACAAAAATGACCCAAGAATAGTCCCCTGTGGTACAGCCATTTTTAACAAAACCTGCGAAATTTATATATCTGAATTTGAATACCTTATTATTACTAAGATAGGACTCCAACAACCGATGAGCCTGTTCATTTAAGCCATAATATTTTAATATAGAATGTAATGGTGTTTAGTTTACCACTATCAAATGCTTAAAATAAAGCAATAGCCCAATCGCATTTTATGAGATCACATAAGCATTAATGTGTCACATTAAGCATGCGTTAAAGGACCCTATTAACTTATAATGGTGTAACTTATTTATGTTAAAGAAGAAGATTTAGAATAGTAAGCTCGAAAATGGACTTCTTTATACTTATAGATAATATTATATAATATAAATACTTACCAGCCGTAATGATCTAAAGTATATCAGGTGCTTAGAGTCATCACCTATACTTAGACTTATAAAGTGGAATTTTCTTACTGTTTGTATTTAATCAGTAAATATGCCTATATCCAATACATATATGCATTGAATATTATTGCAAAATATGGCAACAGATCGTGAATTACTTACCGAATTTAATATTTCAGTCTTTAGAATTTATTATCTTTGGTCTTTTTTATATTCGATGATCTAAATGTTCTAAGTGTCTAGGGGTGTATAGGGGTCAACATGTCTGAAGTTAAACATTTTTTTCATGACACATTAGCATCACATATATGTATGAAATTGAACTTTTTTGTACATATTTATTAATGTTTTTTTAGCTTAATAGAAGAATAATAAAGACCGCAAGTTTAATAGAAGACTAATAAAGAGCCGCGGTTGTTTTATTTGGTTGGTATAATATCTAAAAATCAAACTCAATAACTACTTCCTTGTTGTGTTCAAAAAATCGGTGGTCAGTACTTAAAAAAATAATATAATTTTTTTTTAATCTATTGTTGCTGATATCTTTCTACTTTTAAAATTGTTACTGGCCTTACTTCCATAGTAGGTTTTTCATGTTTTTTATTTAACAAGAGGTAAAATGAAACATTTTGAACAACCCGGCTTCAATATAAGTAAAATGAGAACATCATCAGTGTAGTTGAAGTCAATATCAAATTTATGTGGGACCATATGAGAAGCACGAGCTTTAAAATAAAAAAAAAGATTCGGTTCACCTAGAAAAAGGTTCTGAGCTTCTGAGGTAACCTTAATAAAAACAGTCGAATTGAGAACTTTCTCTTTTTTTTTGTGATCTGATAATACAGTTTTTTTAATCGTTTTTTCACTTTGACATTAATTTTGCAGAGTAATGGCATGATAGTAATATGAAAATACAATATAATTAGAGTTGGGCCGATTAGTACTTTTGCTGATTGGCCGATTAGCCGCAGTCCAGCAGAACCCTATCCGATGATAAATTCAAACGGTGGAACAAAAATTCTTTAAGATATCCAGAAATGTCCCATTTAGCCAAAGCTTTCCTTTGCTGCCCCGCCAGCTATATGTATAGTGAGTGACTTTTTTCTGAGACAGGGAATATCTAGTACCTACGAACCAAAAATAAATCGACTTTAACCAGAAAAGGCTGAGATTTTGGCCTTTTTGCATCACAATTTGCCGCTGGTTAAAAATAACAAATAAATTAAATATTTTCTAAAAAGCCTTCAATACTTTTTCAAATTGAGTATTTCTTTTTAACAAATTATTAGATGATTATAGATTCTTTATTTAGTAACATTACAGGAAAAAAACAATTTATTGTAATTTTAAGTACAGAAAAATAACAATGTGATTTAATTTTTAGTACAAAAACAGTAACAATTTAGTTTTAAGTACAGAAACAAGTATGTTCTATTAGTC